CAGCTTAGCGAGGGCCTTCTTGCCGGTCTTGTGAGCTGAAGATTCGAATTCATCCAGGCGGGCCTGGAGATCCTTGACAGACAAATCGAGGCCCTTGCGCATCTTCTCCTGGGTTTGGGCATGTTCTTGCTCAGCACGGAGTTCGTCAGCCAGACGAGCAGCATCAACCATGGCCTTCTTGGCCTTGTCCTCAGAGTTCTTGGCCTCGTTCAGCATGTCATCAAGTTCAGCCTGTCAGTAAGAAATAAAACAGTTTCAGTACGTACAATTTCTTGGCAAAATTGTAATAGCTTACGACATATTACATGTAAATAAAACTTCATTTAACCTACATGGAGAGTCTGAATCTCGCCCTCAAGTTTCCTCTTTGCCATGGAGAGGGATCCATGCTGAGCAGTAAGATGGCTCAGGGACTCATTAGCATCAGCAAGTTCGGATTCAGCCTGACGGCGTCCGCGATCAGACTGCTCCAGAAGAGTGCGGGATTCCTCCAGTTCACCATTGACAGCATTGGCCTTACGCTCGGAGGCGCTGCACTGCTCGCGATACTCAGAAGCAAGACGCTGCTCCTCCTCCACACGAGCTTGCATGTCCTTCATTTCAGCCTGAGCCTTCTTCACCTGCTTCTGGATGTCGGCATTTGCCTTGTTAGCGTGATCGAGAGCAATTTCCAGCTCACCAATGTCAGCCTCAAGCTTCTTCTTCATACGAAGAGCCTCAGCCTTGCTCTTAGCTTCTGCTTCAAGTGAGGCTTGCATTGATTCGATTGCACGTTGGTGGCATTTGCTGTAAATTTTCTAATTCAGTCTTTACAACGAAATGTAATGTGCATGAGTTAATATGCATGCATGTGTTGTGATTGGTAGGCAATTATTACGGAAATCATTAAAATCATCAGATGTAATCAAATAACTGGAATACTAGACATTTACTAATACTCACCGAGTAGCATCAAACTCTTCCTCCTTCTCCTGAATGCGCTTATCAATCTCTTGCCTGACTTGGCTCAGCTCCAGCTGACCACGAAGAACCTTGTTCTCTTCCTGTTCAAGGGCAGCTTCGGCCTCCTCAAGAGCAGCCTGGAGCTCCTCCTTCTCGATCTCGAAACGCTTGGCGTTCTTTTCAATCTCATGAAGAGAGCGGCCACCCTCACTGATCTGCTCCATCAGGTCCTTGATCTCCTCAGCGAGACCCTTGTTCTCACGACGAACAGAGTCCAGGTGTTCCAGGTTTTCCTCATACACGGCCTTAATGCGGAAGTGCTCAGTGGAGTACTGGCGACATTCCTTCTGGGAAGCATCAAGTTCAGTGGCCAGTTGGTCAACCTTGATCTTCCACTCATTAACAACTCTGTCGAAGTCCTTCTGCCTCCTCTCAGCAGCATTAGCCAGACCTTGGGCACGCTCTACCTGCATCTGCATCTCGTCGATTTCGGAAATGATGCGTCCCTTAGCCTTCTCCAGCTGCATGTTTTTGACATTGAGTTGTTCAATCTGCAGCTCAGCTTCCTCGAGGCGAGCGGCAAGCTTCAGGCGGGCAGCCTCGATCTCTTCAGCACGGGCAACGCCCTCTGATTCATACTTAGAGCGCCACATCTGAGCCTCTGCATAAGCCTTGGACAGTTGGCGGTTGGCATCAGCCTTGGCTTCACACTCTTCATCAAGCTGCTCACGAAGACCATCCAGATCATGCTCCAGGTTGCGGAACTTGCCAAGAAGAACACCGCGCTCCTATGTGGTGTATAAGTACATTCTTATTTTCTCTTGGTCTGTCAGTCTCCTTTTCTATGTAATAATCTATCTATTAATAAATATGTATTCATAAATAAACAAATAGGTTTATATATATAAACATACCACAACTTACCCTAGATTCATCATCAACCATTTTCTTAGTATCTTCCAGCTGAGTGGTAAGAGACAACTTCAAATTGTTCAGCTGATTAATCTGATTATCAGCTTCCTCCAGCTGTCGCAGAAGGTCTCCGTTCTCAACAGAGAGCTTCTTCTTCTGGGCATCGAAGTCGTTCAGAGTGCGGTTAGCTTCATCCAGCTTCACATTAACTTCATTGATTTGCTGCTGAATGGTCTTGTTCGCTTTCTCGGCAAGTGCCTGAAAAGCAAAATAAGATATCTAGCTTGTGTAATACCAGAAATAATTAATGAATTGTTGGTTATTTGTAAATATATCTATGCACGTGCAGTGTGTGTGTAATATACATACCTATATATATGATATTTGGATTTCAGTTGAATAAACAGACAAATACAGAAATAGACATATAACATATAGCACTCAATATTACCTTGTCACGAGCAAGACTATCCATGGCTGATTTAGCTTCATCGGCCTGATATTTCATCATCTCTTTTTCCTTTTCAGTCCTAATTTTATATAAGAAAACAAAATGTTTGTATACAATACATGTGTAAATTGTAGAATATAGTAAATTAGTAAAGCACAATATTTTCACATCAAAACGCATTTGGAAATATGATCACTTACTTGGCCTTCGTCTTGTTGAGATGGTCGATCTGTTCAGTCATCTCGGCAACAGCATCATTGTGCTTCTTGCGAAGGTTAGCAAGAGCTGATTCGTGTTGGATGTTGGCTTCCTCGAGGTCACGTCGAAGCTTACCCAGCTCCGCCTCCCGCTTCTTGTTGAGCTCAACCTGAGCACCTGTTGCACCGCCTGCCTCATCCAGACGCTCATTGAGGTCATTGAGTTCACGGCTCATATTTCCCTTGCCCTTCTCGGCCTTGGCACGAGCCTGTCGCTCATGCTCAGCTTCAGTCTCGAGTTCCTCAATGCGGGCTTGCATTTCTTTGATTGTCTTCTGTACCTTCGAAACTACCACTTGTTCCTCCTCCAGTTTATTGGCAAGATTGCCGATTTCCTTATCCTTACGCTGGATGGTTTGCTCCAGGTCCTTATGCTGGCGCTCGATGTCAGCAACAGTTTCTTGGGTCATTTTCAGATCTCCCTCTACCTTCCTCTTGGACCTCTCAATTTCAGCACGAAGCTTCTTCTCGCGTCCAACGGAACCCTCGAGTTCGTCGAGGGTTTGTTCCAGCTTGGCCTTAATCTTGTTGAGGTGGCTGGCCTTTTCCTCGACGGCCTGAAGATCCTCAGCAGTCTTTTGATTCATCTCCTGCAAAAGTTTCTTTTCCTTGTTAACCTTGTTGATGATTTCATCCTGGTGAGATATTTCATCATTGATATTCCTGATCTGGTGATCCTTGGTAGCCTTATCCTGGTTAGTCTTCTGAACATTAAGTTCAAAATCTTCCAGGTCTTTCCTCATGGCATTGACATCTTGCTCCGCTTTCCTCTTCAACTGGAACATTTCAGTGCGATTTTCCTCTTCTTTCTGAAGTCTAGCAGAAGCATCCTAGAATTGGACAGAAAAGGAGTCCACTGTTAATAATCATACACATTTTCTTATTCTATTATGTTTTGGGCAGTGTAGGAATAAAGTTAAATCAATATGGCATCATATTAAATTCAATTAAGATAAAGTTACTTACAGAGAGCTGAGCCTCCAAGTCAGCTTTGGCTGCACTAATCTTGGCCTGTTCTTCAATGAATTTGGAAACATTGCCCTTTGTGGATTCAAGCGTTTCCTTCAGGGTATTCAGCTCTTCGGCAAGGCTCACGTTGGATTCTTCCAGCTCCTTGCGGCGAGTACACTCGCGATCCAAGTCTGCAACAGCCTTCTCAGCCCTGTCCTTGAGCTTGTTGATCTCGTCTTCAATCCTTGGTTGGTTGATGAGGGGCTTCACCTTCTGCCAGAAGATGAACCAGGACCAGTTGCTCATGTCCATATACTTGCGAATGTTCCGCTGCAGAACTACAAGGGATACACGTTGTTCCTGAAGACGGCCATATTCTTTGCGTCCAATCAGTCCACGGATCCATGACTGCATCCAAGTGATGATCTTGGCCAAACGTTCATCACGAAGCTCTTCCATGGTACCCAGGACGCCAGCACGGAAGAATACCTGTATAGATAACATGCATTGCAAAGAATTTCAACACAGAACTTCGATTTATCAGATCGCCTGAAGTAAGACAAAATACATACCTTTGTCTTACCGCACCTATACAACTCCTTATCAAGTCCAGATTTCTGGAATGTCATTTCTGCTGCCTTCTTGTCATCCTTTTCTGTGGCCATGACGTCAGCGGCCAAAATCTTGTAACTATGGAGAGAAAGTATCATAGTCGTAAAATTGTCTCGAGATTTAATGCATGTGAATCATTTTGAATTAGGTTTGCCATTTCAACATGAGACTCACCGGTGTTTGAAGTCAGGGTATTGCATCCTGTTGGGGAAGCCCTTCTGGCAAATACGAATGCCCTCAAGTACACCATTGCAGGTCAGCTGATGCATGATAAGGCCAGCCTCCACGACACCTATATGATGAATAATAATTAACACGCTCTCTTTATGCACGGGAATAGCAAAGGAGTCATATAAATCCAGAAACAAGAGATTTACCTGGTGACTTGGTCTCGTTGGGCACAATGCAACGGACGAAGTGGGGATGAGTGGAGTGCAGGGTCGTCATGAGGCTGCTCAACTGATCCTGTAAGGGTATGTGAACATCATTGAAAAGGCTGTTCGTTTAATGGTTAACAGTAATATGCATTCATACTTACATCTTTACAAATATATGCGTGTATGTTTGTGCTTGCATTTATAAATAATATATATATATATATATAATATATATATATATATATATATATATATATATATTATATATATATGTATATATATATATATATAATATATATATATATATATTATATATATATATATATATATATATATATATATATATATATATATAGTATATATCACATATATACATATATATACGTATATATATATATATATATATATATATATATATATATATATATATATATATATATGCATGCACTTATGTATATTAATACATATAAAATATATATATGTAGATAGATATAAAGT